TGAAACCTGGCAATGACAAAGAGTAACTTGATAAATAATAAGCAGGTAACTTTTCTCCACAAAACAACTTCAAGACTAGCAACACAGCATACAGGAAAAAGCATGGGCTCTGGGATTACAGCAAAGGTGAAAGGCATCTCTTTCATTTCATAGCTGCGTGATCCAGACATCAACTTCTCTGAGGCCCCTCTACTTCACCTATAATGTATATACAGCATCAGCTAGCTGGCAGAGCTGTAAGAGAATTTTAAGAGACAACATGAACAAACTTCAGCCTGGTTCCTGGCAAATTTGACATATTCAAATTAAAACTCCTATTACTATTATCACTGAAATTCCTAGCCAGCAACTCCAACTAGATTAGTCTTTTCATTGTCTGTAACTACCAAAATGAGCTCAAATTTTGTCAAATGATGTTAGTCAAACTCAGCTCACCTGTGCAAATATTTGTTGCAGAAACACAACAGCCCTTACAGGTTGCAGAAGGCTCTCCTGAAAACATTTGCGAAAGACAGAATACTTTTCCCCCTGGAAAACATCTACCAAAGCTTCTGCTAGATGGTAAATAATACATTGCTTTTGAAAGACCTGAATTATAAGCAAGTAAGTTACCCAGAAGCATTCTTCACCAGCTATTCCTTTGAGCTGCATCAGAAGAATTAACAACCTCTGTAAAAATAGCCGCAGAGCAATTCTGACTAATAATACAAACCACAATGAGATTCGAGCCAAAGTTATAACAGGGAAAGTAGTTAACACTGGAATGGAAGTCAACAAAGAATATTTTTCTTACCTTTTCTATTATGTTACAATATCTTTTAAAAAAAAAAGAAATTGGAACCAGTGTTGTGACTTAGTGTGTAAAGCTACCAACCTGATATTGACATTCCATTCGGGCACCAGTTCATGTCCCAGCTGCTCCACTTCTGATTCAGCACCCTGCCAATGGCCTGAGAAAAGCAGTGGAGGATGGCCCAAGTTTGGGTTCCTACCATCCATACAGGACACCTAGATGAAGATCCTAGCTCCTAGCTTTAGCCTGGCCCAGCCCTGCCCCTTGTGGCCGTCTAGGGAGTGAACCAGTGAATCGAAGATGTCACTTTCTCTGCTTCTCTCTCAAACTTTGACTTTTTGATAAAGAAATCTTTTTCTTTAAATTAGAAAATTTGAAAAATCAATGCATAATTCATTTATTATGAATTCTAAGCTTAGAAGCAAATTCAAAATCTACTCATGGAGTAACATGTACTTTAAAAGAAACACAGAGGGTTTGAAAATTAGCCATCACCCTCAAAACTCTGCTCACCAATTTCAAAAATCAAGAACTTATGTTCCTGTTTAGGAGTAAATGGAACCAACTCACTGGAGACCACACGACAAATAAGCCCCAATTAGTCAGTTATACTTTCCTCAGTCTATAATCTCCCATTGCATACGTTAGCTCCATAATTTTAAAACTGTCACTTACTGTAATTAAGTTCTCCAACTTTCTAACTCATCCTTTGCTCCCCATTTGCACTGCCATCATCTTTCCTCAATCTTTCATTATGTCTCACCTGTTGTCCTACAACATGCTCCCCCATCTGATCTCCGCATGTCCATCCATACTCTTGTCCGTTCCACTCCTAACACTGCAGCTAGAGGAACTTCTCTCAGGGCAAACTCAATTCAAGAATGTCTCCTTCCAGCTTAACTCCTTCAAGGGTGCTCCGTCTCCTAGCACTGCCCCACCCTCCCAAGCTGCCTCATTTCCTTTTATTATATGTATCACCATCTAACATACTATATATTACATGCTTGCTCCCTGTATCCACTCCAAGGAGAATGTAAGCTCCGTAAGGGTAGAGTGTATTTTCACGCCTATATGCTATGTGCATGAAGGAGCATATGAATGAGCGGACTCAGGACTTTCAGGCAGGTGGCTTCCATGACCTGTTATGGCCCTGCTCTTTTCACATTCCTCCTACCTCTACTGAGTTCTTTAGTTATCTAACACAGCACGCCCTCTGTTGTCACCTCCACCTGAAACACAAACTGTCTTTACCATCTAATCAATCTGACAAACTATCACCAATATTTTAAATCCTTCTCCAGAAAGTTTCCCTTGACTTCGCCCCCCATAGATAAAGCAGATAATGCTTTCTTTCCTTTGTGTGCCTATGGTGCCTATGTCTACAATGACTCTAATTAAGCTTCTAGAATGTGTATTTCCCTCCTTAGATTATGAATTCTTAGACTAAGGACTATTTATTCATTTCTTTACCTTCAGTGCCTAAAACAGTATCTCTTATAAAGCAAAAAATTCTAAAAATGCTGAATAAATCCATGGGCACAAAGTTATTCTGTAAGAGATATGAAAACATGAAATTTTAAGAGCTCACTCCTGCAGACAGTGATGCTCACATATGAGGACCTGGTTCGCTTCCCAGATCCAGCTCATGACTCCATCCAGCCTCCTGCTAATGCACACTCAAGAAGGGATTGCTGATGACTTGAGCAACTCAGTTCCTGGGCAGGCAATGTGGCACGATGAGTGAAGCTGTCACTCATATTTCATTTCAGAATGCCAATTAGAGTTCTGGCTATTCTACTTCCAATCCAGTTCCTTGCTAATGTGCCCGGGAGGCAGCAGATAATGACTCTGCAGTATCTGAGCCCCTGCCAGCCACGTGGGAGAGCTGGATGGAGTTCTTGGCTCCTGCCTGGCCCAGCTGTTTTTGAGTCTGTTTGGAGAGTAAATCAGTGAAGGAAAGTACTCATTCTCATTTTCTCATTCTTTTCTTTTTCTGTCTCTCTCCTTAATACATGCACAGGACTAGACCTCACCTCTATCCATCTAACCCTAATCCAAATGAGCAACTGCCACCTATGCGACATTTGTGCCTGAGCTATTGACATCTACCGTCCTTGCAGCAGCCACACCTTAGAAGCAGTCCTCTTCAGCCCTGAGAAACCACAAACCATCATTTAGTAGTTTGCATTACAAACATTTCTATTCTTCCCTGAATGCAGTGAACCTAAATCCTGCCATAAGGAAAATCAGCCATGTTGGTTCCTAAAATGTGAAAGCGCATATAAATATGCCTTCACACATAGATGATAGAGATGTATATGAAGCCATTTAAAAAGTTAAAAAATTAAAGCCCAATGAAGCTTAACATAACTCCAAGTGAAGCCAGAGGTCAAGATATGGTCCTTGATTCCTTCTTCCCACACCACTCAATAATCAAGTTCTAGAATATCGACTTCCTGACCTTTTGAGTAATAGGTTGCCTTAGTTCAGAATCCCAGCATTTCTCATTGGACCAACAGTCTCCTAGTGGCTCTCTGTCTTCGGACACAATGAAAATTGTAACTACCACTTGCAGAGGGGCTGTGTAGCAGGCACTGTACTGAGCACTCAATCACTTAATTCTGTATTTTTTTTTATTTTCACAGCTGTACTGTAAAGAAGAAGTGATTGTCTCTATGGTCATAAATGAGGGGACTAAGCCTCCAAGAGAGGTTAAGTGACTTCCCCAGGGTCACACAGCTTAAACTGCGTTGCAGTAGAAATTCAAACTCACATCGAGCATTATATTGCTAACTTGTTCAACCTTTTTCAGTTTGGTGCCAGCAACTTTTGCAAAAGGTAAGCCTAATCATGTTTCATACCACATAAAATCCTGCAAGCAAGACTCACCTCTGCAGCCTTCATCCCTTATCATTCTCACAGGTTCCTGCCAAACCTAACTGTCAGCAGCCATTTGTTTCCTCATTTGTCTTTGACCGTGAACGTACTATTTATTTGCCAAGAACATCCCTCTGCTTTGGAAACCTATGTCTAATGCCAGCTTCATGACTTACTCAGCTAATGCTAATTCTGCAAAGTCTTTATGCTAACAACAGAAACAGAAAACTTTATACAAATGTGTGCTATAGTTACCAGTAAAGTAAGACTTGTGTGTATTGAATTAACGAATTCGTTAGAAGCAGCCTAACTTAAGAACTTGACACTGAAGTACATTTGACATGCTTTTCCATTTCTAAATTGTCACAGGGTGTATCTGCTCAGCCAACAGCAGGTTTCTTGATTCTATTTTTTGGTTTCTTCGTCTGTAAAATGGAATAGAACCATACCTCTCTCATGGCTGGGGAAGCAGTCATAGAAACGATGAATTTAGCACATTTGTGACACTTTGCACGTCCACATCAGCAACATCTTCTCTCCAGAGTTTATGCACTCTGACAAAGTCACATTGCAGTGAACAGCATCTCCCATCATCTTCATCAGATCTCAGAATTCCACCCCCGCCCCCAAGAAGTCACACAAAAAAGATCTGTTGGAAACTGACCTCATGCAAAGACCCTTGACTTTTAGCTGCTGGTTACACAGAACTCAACAGCTGTGCCACCACACCCTCCCTCGCCAACCACTGTTTGCAGTTTATTGCTTCTTACTCACTCTCTGGTTTCCTCCCTCAAAGTCAGCCATGCCCTTAGCAAGCAGAAGACTGTACCCCCCCGACCCCCACCTCAGAAATCAGAGGGTACCTTTTTCCAGAGAACCAACATTCCCCCCCTCCCAAATCCAACACCCAGTCTTTCATGAATGAAAAGAGAATCCTGTAATCAGCTAGTACTAACTTTAAAAAAATCTCCTCGGAAAAGCATAGTAGAACCCCTGTTACTCATTCTAAACCCTTAGTCTTCAAGTGTTCATTCAAGAAAGAGAAGAAATTCTTGGCATTAAGAACCCATGGGAAGGATCGACTCAAAATGTTTCCCCGAAAGGACACCTGGGGTCTGTCACCCATAAACAGTGACCACAATCCACATCCTTTCCCGCCCCCTTCCTGGCAGAGTCCAGTCTGGAAAGGGAGGTGGGTCCGCACTTGGGGCAACCGGGATGCGTTCTGCCCACTCCTGTCATCTCCCGTGCCCCCTTCCCCAGAGCAATCTTGCCACACAGGCCAGGCCTGGTGCCTCCCCTCCAGTCCCTTGCCCTGACCGTTCCTCACCGCTTCTTGGGAATGGTGCCTGACTCCTGCACGGCGGGAGTGGTCGTGGGCGCCGCCGTGGTCGTGGCCGTGGCCGTAGTCGCGGCTCTCCGCGCTCTGCACTCATGGGTACTCAGAGTCTCCTGCGGCCGACCCAGCAGATGCCCCGAGAGAACCCGCAGCCGTCGCCCGGCGCGATCCGGGTCGCGATCTCGAACCGTTCCAGAACCGGAGCTCGCGCCCGCGCCTGTCCCGCCCGCTGCAGCCGCCGCCTCCGCCATGGCTTCCGCCTTGTGCCGCCGCCCGGGACCGCTGGGCGCGGGTGAAAGGTCACTCCAAGCGGCGCCCGGCGCGACCATTCGCTGCAGCGCATCCCGGCAGCCACCGCGGCGGCTGGGCGGCGGGTGCCATGCGCCTGGAGCTTCGCATTCTCTGCCCCCGCCCACCGCGCCCGCCCTCCGGGCCTGGTCACGCCTCGGCCGCGCGCACCTGCCTGGCAGGTGAGTTTGAGCCGACCCCGGGATTGCTTCAGCCAGTTTGAGCTGGTCCGGGAGCCAAACCACAAGCGCCCCCGCGATAGTTCTGGAATCCTGGGAGGTTGTCTTTGGGTGTGGCCTGGGCCTCCTGAGGCGCTTCTGGAGACAGACACTTGAGTAGGAGTGAGAGGTATTGCTAGGACCTAAAGACAAAACCTGTACCCATAGAAACACTAATGTGGCTCCTCTGCACTCTACCGAGGTGGGCGAGTTGTGGGGTCACTGAAGTGGGTCAAAACAAACACCCATTGCCTCTGACCACTAAAGCAAATGGCTTCGTCTTCCTCTTATTTCTCATAACTGTTATGAGCCTGTGCTTCCTGATGTATCTCATATAATCCCCATTTTACAGATGAAAACTGTGGCTCAGAGACATCCAGCTTGCTTAGGAGCTTCGAGTTGCAACTTGAGTTCTCTTTCCATTGACTGCTGAATTTCCATTGATTCCTAAACACCAGTGCAGGCATTTTGTTTTAATTGCTGTATATAAAACTACTCAACAGCTACTCTTAGACTACTCAAATATTTCCAAGTTGACTTAATTTCTTGAGAATGGCACTTGGTGTCTAACGTAAGGATTAGCTTAAACAGACATTCACAATGCCATTGGCCATTGTCTCCCTGGCATCAACACCTTCACGTTATGCTTTCTTTTAGAAAGATTTATTTATTTGAAAAAATTACAGAGAACGGGAGACAAATCTTCTGCAGTGGGGGGCTGAGCCAGGAGGAAGCAAGACACTTTTCGAGCTGTTCCCACTTGGGTAACAGGCGAGGGGGTCCAAGCACTTGGGCCATCTCCTGCTGTCTTAGCAGGAAGCTGAATTGGAAGTGAAATGGCAGGAACTTGAACTGGTGCCTTTTTGGGACACCAACAAGGCAGGAGGTCACACAGCTGACCCCAAAAGGAAAACCATTGGCAAAGGGATCTAAAGAACACCAAAACCCTGACGTCCGTTAACTACTGACCTGTAGAATCTTACTAATACCTACAGCTGAGTTGACAACCTTACAGTGAACTTCCAAAGTGGCAAAGATTGACTAAAAACCATTAGCTAGGTAGGCAAGTTGTTATAGCAGAGCCAACTGCATCCTGGTGTCTATCCTTGATCTACTGTTATGAGGGTTGAACTTATTTGATTTTAAAAAGAAGAAATAAACAGAGTATGCAATATATGGCCCCACAAGTCCTAAGATACGTTATCAGAGCTTTCCAGATATTATGGACTCTGAGATTTATATACAAAGAGATACCAAGCCACACTGAAAACAAAGCAAATGTTAACCAACAAAGAAGTGGTTAAGTGAATTATATTGATATGGTAAAGTATTTGTAGCTATTAATTTAGTACAATTTTGGAAACTTGGGAAATGCTTATGAATTTGTCAAATACTAAAAAATTACCATAATCCAAAATGTTGCTACTGTTTGCAACAACACAATGACATAGATTTTATTATCATTATTTTATAGATGAAGGCTAAAAACTTATTTTATAGAATAAGTGTAAAAGCTTTTTCTGAATTAACTATATTAAATGCCATCTATTTCATATGACTATTCCACCATTTACTTTTTGGGGCATTAACACTGTAAAGCCCTACATAAGGCTTGAGGGCTTTTTGTTTTTGTTTTTGGTAAAGTCTAAAGTTGAATTTCCTAAAATGAATATTTACTCTACAAATAAACTGTGCTGCTAGTTCTGAAGGACTGAGTTTCCAAAAAGAATTTCAGTGATTGCCACCCAGTTGTCAAGACCTCGTTTGTGAGATGCAGGAACATGAGACCAATATAGTACTTTCCTAAGTATTTATAACCAAGAAAGAGAATCTTCAGTTAGGTTTAAATAATTAAGTATCAAAGCTTGGAAGTGACTGGTTTCTGAATATTGCATAAATGGGCCCTGTTTTGTTGCATATCTTTACACACAGCAAGCCTGTTTGTTATTGGCATTGCATTTTGGGGGGATAGTCAAACAAAAATGTGGGTATGTATACCTCCTGCATGTTTGATAACAGCTGTTACTGCTTGACTTAACTTCACTACTAGAGAATTAGACTCTTATTTCAAAAGGTCAAGACACACTGTGGCTTCCATTGTCACAAATTGTCTTGCACAATATGGAAAAAGTCAGACTCCTGTCCTTTGACTTGATAAGTCACCAGAGCAGGTGAAAAGGTTCAAATCAGACATTAATGAACCAGAAGTTGCTCCTGAGTACTGTCCCTTCAGTTTATCTAGGCCTTACCTCCATTTGCTTGTGTCCTACCTTCTTTATCTCTGTAATTCAATCTCAGATGCGATTTAACTGGTGATACTGGAAACAGAAATAATAACAAAACTAGTCTAGATCTGTCTGATATTGGAGGGTCCTACAGCCTTGGGCACCATGGATCATCCTTCGCTTTTCCAAGAGTTTAATTCTGCCAGTTCTCCCTGAGCTTCCTTGAATAGGGCAGAAACTGGGCTTATTTTCCTCCTTGCTTTTACATTTCCCAATTGTCCTCCAGTGACATCACTGTTGTCCTACCCCATCTCTTCTAGGACTCTTTGAGCTTCTTTTGCCACATATACCCAAATACATCAGCAATACAGGAACCTGTGTGTCTCTTTAACCTATTATTTTCCTAAGAACTTGTTCCCTCATGGTTTCTAATGTCCTTCCTTTATTTGTTAATTAACTTTTCATTTGCAAATATCTGTTTCTCCAAATAGACCATCAATTCCATGAAGACAGAATTGATACCCTTTTTAAAAATCTTAGATTTATATTTAAGTTGTAAGTGCTTCACAAACTTGGAATTCTAGGAGAAAGACTGGAGCCGCAGTGTTATAGAAGCTGTGTCCTGCCTTCTCTCAAGTGCAAATGCTTAACTAGTGACTAATAGACCAACACTTTCCGTGGTGAAAGTGTTGTATTGATGTCACTACTGGTCACATGTAGCCATGAACATGATACTTGATTAAGATGACTTAGGAAGCGAGATTTTTATATTTTAATTAATTTAAACATAGATAGCCACATGATTCTGTTGGAACTGTAACACAATTCCAAAGAATTAGTAAGTTATTGGTGCCTAGAAATATCAACTTGGGGCCTGGTGCAATGGCCTAGTGGCTAAATCTTCACCTTGTAGCCACTGGGATTCCATGTGGGTGCCAGTTTGTGCCCAGCTGCTCCACTTCCTGTCCACCTTATAGCTTGGAAAGGCAGTGAAGGGACCCCGCATTCATGTAGGAGACCCAGAAGAAACTCCTGGCTCCTGGCTTTGGACCAGCTCAGCTCTAGCTGTTTCTGTCACTTGGGGAGTAAACCAGTGAATGGAATATCTTTCTGTCTGTCTCTCCTTCTCTGTGTAGATCTGCCTTTCCAATGAAATTAAAATAAATATTTTTAAAAATTAAGAGAAATATCAACTCAGCCCTTCTCTTTTCCCCCCAGAATAGTATATGAGGAAGAGGAATATTCAAGGAGAAATGTTTGTCTTCTTGCATAATAACCTAAGACTCTAGGTCATTACTCTGTACTTTTCAAAGATAAATCTTGGTGATAGTAAGAGAAAGGATTGCTACAAAGATTCCCAGTCCAGTGAAATTACCTCTTTTCTGATGAACAACCTCCTTTCTAATACTGTTCATGAGAAATAGTTAAGGCATTCCAAGAGTTATTTAATGCAAAAGAACTATTTAGAGATTCTGGGAAAATAAAAATAATAATGAAGGAGATTTGATTTGCATGCTCAGTCTCTAGATCTGAAAGGGAGCTCATCATTGTATATCTAGTGCTGTTCTAGATCCCTGAGCCCAGCTCCTGTTTAACTGCTGCTTCAAGTCATTACACTGTTCCTAGAAGAAGCCATCAGCTATTTCACATGAACTCTTTATGAGGAAAAGGAACAGGAGGGTGAGTGAACTGCTCAAGGAAGAAAGGTTTCTGTTGCTTGACAGTCCAGTAACTCCAGGTTTCAAGCTTCTCACACCCTTTCCAAAGATTACCAAAATAGTGTAAAACACCAATTAGCCCTTTTGCTTGCAATCATGCAGAATTTCGAGATTTCCTGCCAAAATGTTGTCTGAGCCACAATGACCTCAGATTATTTTTGCAGTGAGATGGGTCCATTAACTTTTTTCCTGACTTCCTAGAGAGCTCAATCCAAAATTACTAGCATACTTTAGGTGTAAATGTAGCTACCTAACTTCCTCTGTCTTGTCCAAACTGAAGCAGGGACAGGTATGGTTCTTGTCATCTCTCAGAAGGCAAAATTTACAAGTTTTGCAGATATCAACAGAAAAAGCAAAAGCTTTCTCCTAGGAAATGAAATGTTTTATAAGCCAAAACTGTGTACCACAGGAAAAACTGCATATATGTGTGTGTGTGTGTGTGTATGTATAATATAAATATGTTAATGTGTGTGCAGTCATGAAATATATAGATAGCAAAAGCATTTGTTGAGATTTTGTTTATACCTAATTCATTATTAGATGCTATGAGATACAAAAGTATTTAACACCTTCTCAGAAGCCAGGACTTATATGTAGGAAAATTCTGTGACACTATTCAGTGGAGTAGGTACAATAAAAAGGCCTTACTGAAGGATTTCCTACTGCCTGTCCATATAATAGCAGAGCCCAAAGTGCCCTGTTTACTTATGCTACCTGGAAGAAATTGCTATTTCACATAAAGCCAGGTACACTGAAATGCTTGTGATTCCCAGAAAAATTGAAACCTCTGTAAATATCACATGCAGAAGGGCATCTCAGTTAAACTGCTCTTTCTGAGTTCTGAGACACTTGGCCCTTTAAAAAAAAAAAAGAAAGAAATTTATATTGACTGATTTGGAAGTTGTTTCAAGCCGCAAATTGCTGCAACTGCCAGATGTGG